GAACATCGGCATCCATTTGTTCGTAGAAATGCTATACTAGCAGTGATGTCAATATATAAGCTTCCACAAGGTGAGCAGCTCTTGGTAGATGCTCCTGACATGATTGAGAAAGCACTATCGACAGAGCAGGACCCATCTGCCAAGCGGAATGCATTCCTTTATGCTATTTACTTGTTCCCAGGATCGAGCACTGAATTACCTTTTGACACATGTAGATAAAATTCCTGAATGGGGTGAATCTATTCAGATGGTTGTGTTGGAGCTGATTCGAAAAGTGTGCAGGACTAATCGTGGAGAGAAGGGGAAGTATATCAAGATTATCATATCTTTATTGAATGCTCCTTCAACTGCAGTGATTTATGAATGTGCTGGGACGCTTGTTTCTCTTTCATCTGCCCCTACTGCCATTAGAGCTGCTGCCAACACCTATTGTCAACTTCTTCTTTCTCAAAGTGACAACAATGTGAAGCTTATTGTGCTTGATCGGTTGAATGAATTAAAGTCTTCCCACAGAGATGTTATGGTTGACATGATCATGGATGTGCTTAGGGCACTCTCGAGCCCAAATGTTGATATTCGTAGGAAGACACTTGATATTGTTCTAGAATTGATAACTCACCGGAATGTCAATGAAGTTGTCCTCATGTTGAAAAAGGAAGTTATTAAGACGCAGGGCGCAGAGCTTGAGAAGAATGGGGACTATAGGCAAATGCTCATTCAAGCCATTCATGCTTGTGCAATCAAATTTCCAGAAGTGGCAAGTATTGTGGTACATCTGTTGATGGATTTCTTGGGAGACAGCAATGTTGCTTCAGCTATTGATGTGGTTATCTTTGTTAGAGAGATAATAGAAACAAATCCGAAACTGAGGGTTTCTATAATAACGAGGCTATTGGACACATTTTACCAGATCCGTGCTGCACGGGTTTGCCCTTGTGCTCTTTGGATCATTGGTGAATATTGCTTGTCTCTCTCTGAAGTTGAGAGCGGCTTAGCAACCATTAAGCAGTGTCTTGGAGATTTGCCTTTTCACTCTATTTCTGAAGAAGGAGAAACTACTGATTCTTCAAAGAAGTTCCTCAAACAAACAATAATGCTGTTTCCTCCGCAAGACCGGCTATTCTTGCTGATGGAACTTATGCCACCCAAAGTGCTGCCTCTGAAACTGCATTCTCCCCACCCACTGTAGTTCAAGGATCATTGACCTCTGGAAATCTGCGATCTCTTCTCCTTAATGGTGACTTTTTTCTTGGGGCAGTTGTAGCATGCACGCTGACAAAGCTTGTTCTGAGATTGGAGGAGGTGCAGCCATCTAAAGTTGAAGTGAATAAGGTGTCTGCACAGGCTTTACTTATCATGGTTTCCATGTTGCAACTAGGGCAATCTGCAGCAGTTCCACACCCAATTGATAACGATTCTTGTGATAGGATTACATTGTGTATAAGATTGCTTTGCAATACGGGCGATCAGATGAGGAAGATTTGGTTGGAGTCTTGTCGCCAAAGTTTTATGAAAATGCTTTCAGAGAAACAGTTACGTGAATCAGAGGAATTAAAGGCAAAGGCTCAGGTTTCTCATGCACAGCCAGATGACCTTATTGATTTTTACCATTTAAAGAGCAGGAGGGTAAGAAAGTTCCATGTCTTTGATACTATAATGGACCTATATAAAGGACACTTTCTCTTTGCAGTCTTGCTTAATTCCTTTTTTCAATTTCTTTTTCTTTTAAAAAAATTAAAGAATATTATTTTGTGTGGTCTCTCTTGTTCTTTACCTTTGCTTTATGCATCCGATATGTGCATAATATTCCTCTGTTAAGCTGCCGTGTGCATTTGGAAGCTTGATTCAGCATAAAATCGTTCCTGTACCAATGAAGTAGGAATCTGGCAATAAACAAGAAATGGCTGGTGTCTTTGCTTGTAAATTGGAACCTAGCAATAAGCAGGAAGAGGCTGGAGTTTTTGCTTGTATTTCCTTGTGAAGTGGTCACCTTCAGGTTGTCTGAAGTTATATCTGCTTGTTATTTAATGACATTTTCTGTAAATTCAGATATCATGGATTGGACTAGTTGTTGTAATATTCCTCGTCTATATCCTAGGAGTTACTACATCTATCTCCTTATTTCTGCTGACTACTGTGAGGCATTTTTGCATTTATGGACTTATTCTTTTCCCCTTGAAAACTGAAGGGAGGTGTTTGTCATGTGTAAGATCTTGAATCCTTGATATAATCTTTTGTACTGTGTATTTCTTCCAGGGATGAGTCAGCTAGAATGGAAGATGCATTCAGATGATTGAAACTGCAACTGGAGATTCACGAAGGATGAAATGTGCAAATAACTTAACCGCTTTCTCCAGCTCACGGGATTTATGACCCAGCGTATGCTGAAGCTATGTGACATTCCCACTATGATTTGTCCTTGATGTACAATTATCATCGAACCAAGGAAACTCTCCAGAATTTGTGTTGGAATTCTCAACATGGTGATTGAACTTGTTGAGCGATCACAAATTAGCTTTACCCTTGATCCGCAGCAATAAAGGCCACTCCAGGTATCTCCCTGAGATGGTGTCTATTGGGAATATGTCCATGAACTTCGAATGGCCTGAGAGAACAGTTGTTGTCCTTAATGACATCCACATTGACATTATGGACTATATCTCTCCAGCAGTATGTTCAGATACAGCTTTCAGAACAATGTGGGCAGAATTTGAGTGGGAAAACAAGGTATTTCCTCATTCTTTCTTGAATTTATTTTTATCATAAGAAGCAATTACAGTTCTTAGAAAGAATTTCTGCAGTTATGTTTCTTTTCTGTAAAAGATTCTTTAGTTGTTCATACCATCTCAATGTGGATGGTTAATATTTAGTATGTTATTCAGGCAACAATCGAACTGCTTAATAATGTAATTAGGACTTTCTGCAATTTAAGTATCTAAAGGATTTTTGGATATGGATCCATCTGTTACAATTTCTTTAGAACTTCTGACTTGAGTAGCATCTTTTTCCTACCAAACCTTCTCTTTTCTTACCAAGAAATAGTTGGGATGCTGTTTAATGCGGTAAGTACAGGGTATTCTTTGGTAAAAGACAAAAGAATAGTTCATTTTGTACTTGTTGCGCGGCTCCTAGAACTTCTGACTTGAGTAGCAATTCTTTTTTACCGAACATTCTTGGTTCCTTGTAATCCGAGGTCAATCTAAGCTCCTTTGGATTGTGGCGTTGAAATCTGATAGTTATCTCACTGATTTTCATTCAATGTGTTCTGTGATATAGGTTGCTGTTAACACGGTGATTCAAAATGAAAAGGAATTCCTGGACCATATTATTAAATCGACCAACATGAAGTGTCTCACTGCTCCGTAAGTAGTCTCTATTTCTTCTTATCTGGATTCTGGAAAAATAAATTGTTGTTCATGGTGCTTGTGATCTTGGCATATGTCGTATTTTTAAATAAGTTTTTCTTGGCTTCCTTCCTTCTCACGCCGACATGTTTTGGTTTGGGTTCAGGTCTGCCCTAGAAGGTGAATGTGGATTTCTGGCAGCAAATTTGTACGCCAAGAGTGTATTTGGGGAAGATGCTTTAGTAAATGTGAGTGTTGAGAACCAGACAGATGGGAAACTGAGTGGGTACATCAGGATAAGGAGCAAAACACAGGGGATCGCTCTTAGCCTGGGGGATAAGATCACTCTCAAGCAGAAGGGAGGCAGTTGATTTTTGGAGCGTTCGTCAACACTTGGATCGGTACTCACTATTCCTCTTTTTTATTCTACGACTCTGTCTTGCACCCTTGTAATTGCCAGAGTTGTTTATTGGAGTTGTTTGAATTGCTGCAGGTCCTTCGCCTCTAAGCCAATATAAAGACAGTTGTTTCTGTCAATTTTGTTCTTTTTGTATGTTAGGAGTGTAAGTCTTAGGGAAGTGACGTCTTTGAAGAGAGTGATTAAATTGCTGTTTGTTTACTTATTAAACAGCCTCTTTTTTTTTTTTTTTTTTTTGAATTAGTGTTAAATTTAAAATTGGATAGGGAATATTCCCTTGTAAGAAAGGAGATGATAAAAATCTATTTTCAATGTGTTGTTTCAGCTCCAGGACCTCCCAACCCCTTCTTAAATTTAATGGTAAATTACAAAAGGCTTCGAGATTTTAAGTAGACAATTTTTTAGACTAACAATTTCATCTTTATTATTTTAAGGTAGGAAATGTGTTTTAAAAAATTAAATTAGGGTTCCGTACATATTTTTGTTTGCACTTCTTCCATTGTTTTTTTTTTTTTAATTGACATTATTGAAAAGAGAGTGAGTTATACTATAATTTGTAAAAACGTTATTGCACTTTAAAAATATACTAGATATAACTTAATCAACTTCATATGATTGGATTGGGACATACACCCCTTTGGATCAATGAAACCCCCTAAAACCCTTACAAGAAGAAGAAGGAAAAAAAAAAAAAAAAAAAAAGTAAATGAAAAATTATATCACTTGCATAGTTTCAGTTTTTTGAAAAACAAGGATACAAGGGATTTGGGATAAGGCTTAGTAGCAAGGCATGTAGGAATATTTTCAGGCTGTTCAACCCAGAGTTTATGAGCAATCTCACCCGCAGTCAGCTTCTCCGACAAGTTCAAAATCTGGGCTTCTCCCTTCACCTCAAGTGTCACCTGACATGTAATCACCACAACGTTCACAAATGCAACAACATATATATATATGTGTGTGTGTGTGTATATATATGTATATATGTCGTACCAAGAATAAATATCCACTACATGGTAAGTCAGACCAGAAATTGAAAATCCCAAAAATTTTAGCAGTCTTTCTTAAATGAGAAAAAGAAAAAGAAGTTTGAAACTATTTTGCATGTCAAAGCCGGGTTACTTACCAATGTGAGTAACTCTTACATGATTCTCATATATAAAGTAAATGTTGTCATAAATCCCAATCTAGTGCATAGAATTATCCTTGGGCTCTAATGTGGAGAGCCATTGATGGCAAATAACAAAGACAACAAGGCATGGAAGGGATGTGGTGGTTGGTGGTAGTCTTCTCCATATGAGGCTTTATTAGCTACAGACCACAGAATAAGGAGATAATGAGTAACATATCTCAGTCCCCCTCATTCGTTGATACCATCCATTCTCGTTCAACACGAAATATACCTTTTTTTAGAAACAAATTAATTTATCTATTCTCAATTAAATTAAAATCATTCCCATATAAGCATACGCGAATTTTATCCATTTAATGGCAGAACCAGATCCCAAGCCACCACCTGAATTATATCTATCTTTACCCATTTTCCCCTGTTTTTTAAACCTCTGATTTCTTATTTTAACTTCATACTCGGTACTGAAGGAAAATCAAATCAAATCAAATAACAAAGAAAATTCAATCAGAATACAGTAACCAATCTAATCTACTTTGACTACTTTCCAAACCCAATGTAATATTTATCAGAAACAAGGACAAATTCCTCATCTACAGTACATGCATTTCCCAGAACAGACTTCAACTTCATTAAGACAACTCAGTCTAATTTCTTTTTTAATAAAAGAAGCGAGAGGGACATCGCACCTTATGCATTGAATCGATGTTTTGGGAACTACAATACTCTGCAGTGTGAGGGTCGTCCTTATGGGACCAAATGGCAGCAACGGATGCATGGCACCCCTGTGTTACAATACTCCCCAGCGGCCACGTGTCTATCAGGTCCCTCCTCAGCACCACGTACTGCACCACCACGTCCTCCGTCTTCTCCGCCTTCGAGCCGTCATTTTGGGACGGGAAGACATCGGATCCGCCCGGTTGGTTCATAGACTTGGATCCGATTGGAGTTCGATTGTTACGATCCGCAAAGTGAAGCAGAACAGACAGCTTAACCCTAGTTTTGATGCTTGAAGGAGCGAGACCAGGAAGGCTGCAGGTCGAGGAACGAAATGGTGAGAAAACAAAGGCCATGGTGTAGGTCTACAAGGTGTAGCACATAAAACTGCGCGCCACTTTACGAGGGGCTTTAACGGGCTTCCCTGTGGTCTCTCGAAATAAGAAAGCCCATTGGGCCTTGCTAATTACAATTTTATTTTATGCAACTCAAAAGGTGACATCCCAATACGAAGGAAGGCAACTACTTGTTCATCAAAAGAATTAGTTAATAATGATAGATATTTTGAAAAGTTTTATAAACAAGTGAGAAGAAAAAAGGGGAGGAGTTTATGTAAAAATATATGATTCTTTAGGGTTCGAGAATGAAAAGATTTACTTAGTACAAGGATTTGATGTGGGTTGAATTTAGAAAAGAGAAAGCTTGGTATTAAACATTGGGTTTTTAAAAAGTTGTATACAAAATTTAAAGAGATAGTGTGACAAATAAAGATAACCAGGTACATAAAATGGATGGTCATGTAAAAGGAGATCGTTAAAAAACCTTATGATATATTATTACAGAGAGGTATTTGATGTTTATGTTAAATTTTTATGCTTGAAAATGGTAGATGTTTTTGCCCTCAATTGAACGTTGGATTATTTGAAGGTTGTGGTTGAGATGACTTCGTTTAATGTATCACAAAATCTTGTGAAAAATGATTAAGACGTGTCTGTTGACCATGTTTTTAGTAAGTCAACAAGTAGATTAATTGGCTTTTACCAAGATAATTTAAAAATATAAATTTGATATTTTTTATTACAAATTTTATTTTGATGGAGGGTAATTAATAATTACTACTCAAACATACAAAATATTATAATTTATTTTTTAAACTATGTATATGTATAAGAAAAAATTATCTTTTTCAAATAACAATTAATTAAGGCTTTAGATTAAATGAATGAAGACCACGTGGGCGGCAACGAAATTGGTGACATCGAATTCTAAGGGGACCGAAATCTGAATTTCCACGTGAAATTTATACACAGATATTTCTATATATATATTCCACTCAGGATAAGGTAAAGATAAGATCTGAAATTTTGGCACATTTATTTAATTAATACTCATGGTTGTTGGCACCCATTTGTTTCTTTCGAGTTTTCAACATACAAAAAACAGTCCTCCAAAAAAAAAAGTAATTTTTTTTAATGACAATGAATGAAAAGTATCATATTAAAGCTTCCTAAAAATATATTATTTAAAGAAAATTTTGAAACTGATTGGAAGAGAATTTGATCGAATGAAATTTAATTGAAAGTCGATGATTTCGTCCTATAAATTCCTTTTCTTCTTGCTTTCGTACAAGGAAATGAATCCAGTGGTTTCCTCGTGTGCGTGCGTAATGTCATTAATTTGTCTGATGAAGGGTATAACTGAGTTTTCACAAGTAGCAAACTAATCTTTGACACCCGCCGAATCGTTTTTGCATCCAACATTCACCGTCATCTGTACCTGAATGGGCCAACAAGCCGAAACCTCCAACAAGAAAAGATCAAGACCAGATTATCCCAAATAACTAAAAAAAAAAACAAAAAGATTATGCCTTCTTTTTTCTATTTGTTGAAATAACATTTTATTTATTTATAGTATTATGTATATATATATATATATATATATATATATATCATTACTAGAGAGAAGAAGAAAACAAAAGAAACATATGGGTAAATTTTGTAAGGTAAGAGACTAACACACATTATATAATATTTAAAAGTTCAAAAAAAAAAAAGATGTTATTGAGGTTCCTCTTGCAGATCTGTTAGAGAAAAACAACTCTGATACTTGACCACCAGCTGCCTCCTGCTCTGTAACTTGCTTCTTTTTCCTCCTTCTCCATCCTCATAATTCGATGGCGATGAAGAAGATGACGATGTTGATGTAGGGTTGGTCACTTCTCCATCCTCTTCATCATCTTCTTTCAGAGCAAGAAGAGGCATGGATTTAGGGTTTTGCCACGTGTAGAAACATGATCTCCTGGACAACTTGTTTGCCATTAAAACTCTTCTTCTCTTGTTGAATGAGTTATCTGGTTTCTCCAGATCTTTCACCGTGCTCACATCTGATAGATTTGCAAATGATTTTGACCTTCCGGTGTAGTGATTTGACAATCCCCTCCTGCAAATTCCCAATCACCAAAACAAAACCTCAAATAATAAGGGCCTAACTTTACAGAGAAATTCGAAAGAAGAAGAACAGAGCCAGTTCATAAAAAGGGTATAGACAGAGAGAGATCTACTCTTAAGCAACCGGCTTTTTTTACATGCAAATAACTTGCCTAAAAACTTTGATTTGTTACAATGTTTGGTAACTTTGAAGCATCAGAGAGACATTAATTAATTTCTTGTAAAATCTCCTAAAATCAGATATGGATAAGAAGCTGGGTTCGGATCAGTACAGTGCAATAATCGATTAACAGTTTTTTTATTTATTTTTTTTTTCACAAACCATGAAATTGGAGAGAAATAATAAAACCTAAATTGGTGAGAAAAAAAGAATCCAGAACTCACTTGATAGGAAGAGAATCTTCCAAGGAACCAAAAGAACCCAACGATCCCAACCCCCGATCACGAGACTTGGACGAAACGACGTCGTCATCGTCATCCTCTTCTTCTTCGCTGTCTCCCGCGGCGCCGATCGACGACGAACTGTTCGATGAGTCCTCCAACGATTTATCCAAAGGCCCCATGCTGGTTACCGACCCGATCCCCTTCCGGATCAGCCCAGGCCCGCGTTCCTCCTCCTCCTCCTCCTCCTCCTCCTTCAAGAAAATACAAGGTGAGGCAGCAGCCGCCAACTTATCCTGCGCCGGGCCGCCGCTCCGTTCCCTAACGTACGCCGGGGGTACCGCAGACACCTCGATGCTGAAGGTGGGACCGACCAAAACCTCCATTTCGCTGATGCCACCCAGAGACCAGAGAAAAGATAACCCCGAAACCGTCCCAGAAAAAACCAAACGAAGAAAAACAAAAGCCAAAAAGAAACAGAAAAGGAAACGCCCTGTGAGATGCTTGTTTTAATTACCGTTCTACCCCTCCCCTCTTCGTCTTCGCCTTCTTCTGGGTTTCCGAACAGGGTTTGTTGTCATCAATCGACGGCAAATCGGTGGTGAGTGCGCAGGATAAAAAAAGACTCAGGAGTTATAGTTGAAGGTTGAAGATAAAGGCTAAGGTTCAGGATCAAATCCACAACACACAGGTCAAAAATAAATTATGGTTTAGACTGTTGGCGTCACCCATCTCCATAGTACAGATATGGGAGCTGCAGGAGAAGAGAGAGAGAGAGAGAGAAGGCTTCTCTGAGGATTGAGGAGAGAGAAAGCAAGAAGCTTCAATTTGTCCCGGAGGGAGAGGGAGGGAGAGAGAGAGAGAGAGAGAGAGAGACCAAGGAAACACGATAAGGACGATGACTAGATACATTTATATATTATATCCATCTCTATCTACTGACTTCCACCCACGTATATATACACGTATACAACAAATGTACATACATACATACATAGGAAGTGTGTTGCATAAAAGAAAAATAAGAATTCGGATATCATATAATAAATAAACTATAAATTTTTTTTGTTATTTTAATTTTGAAGTAACATTAAATGACTTAATGCATGTATTAGCTAAAAAAAGGAAAAAATCGATTAGAAATTGGGAGATTTATATGAATAATCTAAAAGCTGAATAAATAAAATATAATTTATGTTGCAAAATAAATTGTGTGATATAAAAGGTTTGACTCTGTTGACTTCCATTCTCAATATAAAATTTTGAGAAAACAGATTTTTTTAACCTATTTTATTTATAAAAAAAAAAAAAGATAAATATATAATTCGAGAGAGAGAGAGAGTAACGAGGAAGGTGATGACGTGGCAAAGGACTCGATTTGGTGCGTAAACTAAAACAAGTAAGTGGTCCTGGTTAGCGTTAACATTATCCTGTTCTCTACCGAAAAGGAAACTAATTTTTCTTCTTTTATTTTCTATTTAATCTCTTCTCCATAAAATCTAAACTTATAAATATATATATATATATGTATATATGTATACGCGTTATACACAACAATCTTCTAACCCGACCAAATATCAAGTACCGGGGGGGGTTTGTTTCGTGGATGCATATATATTTCATATTTATATATTTTTAAAATCAGTAGGTTGATCCTCGGTGAAATATATTAACTAATCCGAATTTTAGTAACTATAATATATACAACTAGAATTGTATTTTTCGCGTCAGCAAATCTTATCCATTGGGATAAATATCTCTCTTCATACTTCTTTGAGGAATATATATATATATATATATATATACTTACTTAATTGACTGATTATTTTACATTTTACACTAATTATATATATCTAGATTATTAGCACATCTCTGATTTTTTTTTTTAGGAAAATCTCATCTTATATTTTTTTATAATGAAAATTATCCGTTCGTAAGATTAAGGCCATGTTTGGGATAATTGTGTTGAAATTTATTTGTATATTATATTTATTTTAATTATTTTATAATATAAGTTCATTTAAAATAACAAAAATTAAATTGATATATAATGAATTTTAAAACCTTAATTTTAACTAAGAAAAAACCATGTGCTAAATTTACTTTATAATAACTTTAGGAGCAAATTATTATTAATTGGCAACTTAAATTTACTTAGTGATATACATATATGTGGTAATTTATTATCAAGTAGAATAACATTATAGTAAAAGTGTCAATTTTGAAGTTAAAAGTGTAAGTGGTAAACAGTAAAATAATTTATAAAATACGAGATAAAATATTTTCAACATTTAAGAACACACTTAGTTAACTGATGAGGTATGGTTTTATACGAATTAATTAATTCAAAAGATTTTTGCTTAAATGTTAATTAACAATTTAATCTTTCTTGGCATGCTTTTTTCTTCACATGATGAGTATTGCTTCGATTTTCACCATCAATATGATGATAAACAGTCATTTTATCAAAAATGATCATGTCAACTTACCTTTAAAAGTATAATTTTATCCAAAGCTTTAAATATGTTATTACACTTTAAACAATTTCAAATTTGAAAACTCTTCCTTATTGTTGTCTTGCATTTCTCTATCATCTTTCCTTATTTATTGTTAATTAATTTAAGTCTTAATTTCTAATATTAATTAAGTCAAAGTTTAATTCTCCAATATTCTCCCTTAGACTTGATTTTGTTATTCCCAATATTTTCTTTAACTTAGATAAATATATCTGTTTTAAGTGGTTTTATAAAAATGTTTATGATTTGACCTTAAGATGCACGATACTCGACCACAATCTCTTTATCTTTTACCAAGTCACATATGTAGTGATGTTTGATGTCAATGTTTTTGTTACGACCATAAAATACTAGATTCTTTGTTAAGATGATAATTGATTTATTATCACGATAGGTTGTCGTTGGACTATTTTGTTGATGTTTTAATTCATTAAGCATCCTTCAAAGCCAAACTGCTTGAGTAGCACAACTCGCAGCTACTATATACTATGCTTTTACTGTTGAAATCGCTATTATTTGTTGTTTTTAAGAGGACAAAAAAAATGCACTTGAACCAAGATTAAACACATAACCTGAAGCATTTTTTCTTTCTTTAGTGTCACATACCCAACCACTATCTGTATAGCCACCTAATTCCATCTTATTTGTGGTTGAATATAAAATATCATCATCAAACATTCCTTTAATATATATCAATATTCTCTTTCCAGCTTTCGAATGAGACTATTGTGGTGATTCTATAAATTAGCTCACAATACCAACTTCATAAACATATCAGGTCTAGTTGCTATTAAGTACCTCAATCTTCTAATAAATCTTCTGAAGTTAGTTGCATCAACCAAATCATCACTGTCGTCTTTCACAAGCTTTAATATTTCTTCCACTGGTGATAGTATTGATTTGCAAGCTTCCATCTTAATTTTCTTCAAGACATCTCCTATATATTTGAGAAATGAATATACTTTTATCTATTTGATTGATCTCAATACCAAGAAAGTAAGATATTAATCTCATATTTGTCATCTCAAAATGAGCAATCATATCTTCCCTGAATTTTGACAACAGTCTTGAATTATTACCGGTGAAGATCAAATCATTCATATAAAGGCAAACAACAACAATATCTTCATTTTTGTTTGTCTTGATACACAAAGTATGTCTGTAGGGGCACTTTTAGAAACTATGATTAAGAAAATAGTTGTCAATACGAGTATACCACGCTTTTGGCGCTTATTTAAGCCCATATTTAGCCTTTTTCAACCAATAAACTTTATCTTTTTTACCTTTTTTTCTCATAACCAGGTGGTTATTCAACATATACTTATTCTTCAAGTACACCATTTAAAAATGCTAATTTTACACCCATTTGATATATTTTTCAAAAATTATAAGCAACAAGTGAAATGATCATACGCACAGTATCGAATCTAGCAACAGGCACAAATACTTCGAAGTAATCAATGTCTGACATTTACTTGTACCCTTTTGTAACTATCCATTTTGACTCAATTGCCTTTTCCCTTTTAGTAGAGTTGTTAATTCCATGTATTGTTCTTCTCAATGGAAAAAAATTATTCATTCATTATTTTAATCCACGATAATCATTAAATGCTTCTTCGGACACTATTAGATCATAATCTGCAAAGAAAACATAATGAACAACATCTTCACCGTTGTGAGGATCATTACCAATTTCATAATCCTTTAAATAAGCAGGTGAACAATGATATCGTAATGAACATCTAAGCATATGAGGAGTTGAAGCTTCTGGAGCAACACCAGGTGATTCTTCAAAATTTAGAGTAGAAGACTGCTCACCTGTGTGATTATTTGTTTCTATTTCATTGTTTATGAACACCAGAATTGATAAATATTTTTTTTCTTCTTCTGACCATTCCCATACTACATCTTCATTAAAACTAACATCACGACCAGTGATTAACTTTTGGGTTTTTGGGTTGTATAGCTTATAGCCCTTTGTTTTCATGTTGTAACCTATAAAGATGCATTTGTCCACCTTGTCATCAAGTTTCTTCCTTAACTCATTTGGCACATGTAACTAAACATCTTCATATAGCTCAAATTAGGCTTCCATCTGCTTCATATCTCTTACGGACTTTCATCACGAACACTTTTAACAGGACATCTGTTCAAAATAATTGTACAAGCAATAGCTTCTACCCAAAAACTCTTAAGTAACTTCTTATAATGCATCATACTTCTCACCATGTCTATAATAGTTCAACTTTTTCTTTATGCCACTCCATTTTATTGAGGAGTATACCTAACCATTAACTAATTTTTAATTCCATGTTTTCTCAAGAAATCATCACAAACAATATACTATGTACCTCTATTAATTTTTAAAGTTTTGAGAGAATAATCACTTTGCAAATATATGCCACAAAATTCTTGACTACTCTATACGCATAAGATTTATGCTTTAAAAAATATACCTATGTCTTTCTACTAAAATTGTCAATGAAAATAATGAAGTACTTATTACCTCTTTTAGAAGGAACCTCCACATAGCATAAGTATGAATGCATAAGCTCAAGTGAGCTTTTGGATCTCCATGCCTACTCTGTAGGGAATGAATCTTCGTGCTTCTTCCCCAAGACACAATTCTCACAGAGTTAATTAGGAACTTGAATATGTAAGCCTAGTGCTCCCAAATTTAAGTGTTTGAGCCGCACATGTCATAGTTGATTATCATCAACAATCAAATAATTACAGTAAAAGACATTATCATAATTGATATGCGTTGGAAATAAACGGTTGGATGACATTTTCTTCTTTAGGATCATTTTTTTCTTTGACTCACTTACAGTGTACCCCTATTTGTTGAAACACAAGTCATAACCTTTTTCTACTAGTTGTCCCACACTTAATAGGTTCTGACAAATAGTAGAAGTATAGTAAACTTAAAAAATATAATATGCAGATTCATTCTTCATTTTAATGGAGATTCTTCTTTTTTTCTAAAATTGGGACCTCATGGTTGTCACTTAATTTCACGAAAGAGCGAAACAATTCATCTAATTCAGAGAACACTTCCTTGTTTCCACTGAGGTGATTGTTGCACCTTGAGTCTAATAACTACTATTATTATTACTTCCATTAGTATCATGGGTTGTCATCAATAAAGTCTCTAAACTATTATTTTAGGCTACCCCGACCTGATTTTCTTTATGTTCTAGTCTCTTTGCATGACACTCTTTACTATAGTGACCATATCTTTTGCAATTATGACACTAAATATGTGATTTGTACTCTAATTGATAGTGACCAATTTTTTTTTTCATTTATGACATTGGATGCAAGACTTATTTTGAAAAGAATCATTCTTTGTTGCTCCTTGTCTTGAAGT